AGCAAATACCACGATTGTCGATGTCGATGTCGATGTCGTTCATTTGCCAAGTACCGACCCCTGTAAGCTATTTCCGGACGACACAGCTTAGATGGTGCCATCAGTACTGTGAAGGGGGGGTGGTATTCACAAAGGGTACCAACCGGGTAGTCACCATAGTGTGATGCCAGGATGGAGGAGGGGTAAATGTGAACAGATAGATACACGCCCACCGATGTACGAGGTACATGTACATACATACCTACCTACCTACAACGCGATGGAAGGGGCGAGGGAGAGTATGTTTGATCTTCAGGAGGTTGTTTCAGAAGATCGTTCTCGAACGAGTTCTAGCATTCGCGATCGTCCGCTACGAGTTTCTCAGGACCTCGAGAGGGTCTTTGGAGAGCCACCTGCTGGTCTTATCTGGGTATGGAGCTGTGGATGGTGGATGGTGATGTCACTGGAGCTTTTCATGTTGGTAGTTACCGAGAGAAGCCACATGGCGTGGCAGAGCAGACCGGAACATGCTGCAGCGGGGGAGGGACATATGTGTGTATGTGGTGGCTCGAGGGCACGTCCTGTGGATGCTTGATAACCTCGCTTGTGGCTGGAGGCCATCCATGCCTTGGATTTATACGAAGTACTCGGTACTACTCAGTACTCGGTAGGCCTGTCTGGTGTACAAGATAGAGAACACCGAGCAACTGCTTTCTGCTTTTGGTCGGAAAGCAATACATGATAGGGCCTTTTGTACTTTCATACCTATCAAACTATTCTCTGTGGAGGCGCAGATATCATTGGCTCGGTGCCTGGCAAACAAGCCATGCTAGCAGCTAGTCGGTAGAGATGGAGCTCCGGGCTCTAAAGTACACCAGAATAAGAATTAATGAAGGCCTCTCATGATAACAAGCATTCACTTCGGAAGCTCCGGGTGGCAGAACCACGGTTTTATGCTCTGGCAAAGATGGAGAACAGCAGCTTGTGCCTGAGACCCATAACTCCGACGAGGGGATTCCACCGTGATACTTGATAGTTCAATCGATGAGCTTCCTCTTCAGTCAAACAAGGTTAAGGTTGGACGGATCAGCCACGGAAGACGCAGCATGTCTCAGAAGTCATGATGCAAAAGGTGTCTTGGTACAGCGGGTCGGCTGCATGCTAAGCTGCAAAGTCAATGCGAATATACGTATGCAACAGGAGAAGAGAATTCTGATGGGGGGATGGGGGAAGAGAGAGTGGGCCGGACAGTGTTTGGAAAGAAGAGAAAAATGCTGAAGAAGCTGAAAAGCCGAAGACCACGGTGGATAAAGAGACTTGACGGACGCGGCTATGGCTCCATCGCGTGTTTGAATCTTCTTTCTGCTGGGCTTCCTCTTCTAGTGTGGGCCGCGCGTCCTTCCAGGGACAAGAAGATTTGGGGGATGCTGGTGATGCGAAACAGAGAGTGAGACGGAGTTTTGAGGTGCGCCAAATGCCAGTTACAACCAGATGCCAGCAGTGCCAGTGATGCCAGTTCTTGATTTTTGGCACAAACAGAAGCGTTTAACGAGGAAGCTAGAGACGGGACGAGTTAGACAGAGATCGGGGGGTCGGGGCTCGGGGCTTTCGTCTTGCTCTCTTCCTTGTTTGTATCATGGTACTTGTTACTTGTATGCTCAATGATGGCAGGCGTCGCATCCACGCGGATCTTGTCAGAGAAAATTGGGGGATTTGTGTCCTAGTGGAACCAAAGGCAACGTTTTTGTGGTGCATTTCTACTGCAGTTGAGAACCCTAACCCGCGATATTGTGAGACTGCCATGGCATGATTGGCGATGATTTTCAGACCAGGTGTGAGATGCAGTGGCAGATGTGTCGCCGGGATGCCTGGCATGGGTCTGAGATTGCCAACTACGCGAGGATCATGATAGGAACCCATGTCCGCAGTGTCGCAGGGAGGGAGGCCTTTTACTCTGAATGTACTGACAGGTCTGTTCACAGATTCCGCAAAAAAACCTGTACAAGGAGAAGTTAGAGAGCTAGTTTCACTCACTATGGAGCAGTCAGGTACCTCCTTGTACGAGTAGGAATGGAGAGTACATACCTGGAGGGTTAGAGTTGTCGAAAAGAGAGATGGCAAAAATACTAAGGTCAGTGAAGAGAGAGAGGGGAGGGAAGTGGGAGGGTGGTGTGGACAGCCAACGGCCGCCGTATTGGAGGGCAGAGCGGGCGTCTTCCAGGCCTACCGTGACCTATCGATAGAGGGGATGGCAGCCAAGGGACCATTTACCGGCCACAGTCCACAATCCAGAGACAACCCCTACACAGACCAACAGACCCAGCCGTGTAACCCACAAAACCCAGGCACAAAGGTGACAGGGAGGCTAGTGACACCTTACCAAGCCCAGTATCGCGCAATCGGCGCTTGGGGGTCTTGTTGGGCCCGGTGGCACCAGTGCCACCCGTGGTGTGTTGGTGGCCCCAGGGCGAGTGCGAGTAATGCGCGAATCTTCTCCATTCCAATGGCCGCCAAATGTCCCTTCGCTGGGCTTGTGGGATGCATATCCGCATAACATTTGATATAGGACCATGCTGAAGCTGTTGCTCCCGAACCTTTCTTTCTTTCTTGTTGAGCTTGATGTTTCCTAGGTCTTTGCTGCTCTGGATTCTGTCGTTCCGCGACTATTCCCCGTGCGTTCTGATTCCGTCTCATCTGGTCTAGAATCGAACCCCTCGTTCAACGGAGCTCTCTTTCTTTTCTTATTTCACTTGAAATCATTTCATTTCAGCGCCCGCAGCCCTCGCGCGGCAGACAGGAATTGCTGGGGACTAGCACGAAGGAATAAAATCCAACGCTTTACGTCAGTCGCTACGCAATCGGAAAATCGTGGGCACGTCTCACCACCTGGTCTTTGCTGCCCTGTTGTGGCTTGTTGCGGACCCTCCGTCCTGAAACAAATCTTCGCCAGCGACATCATCCCTGTCACTAATAAATCCTCCGCCAGCCACCTGAGCGTTCCATACCACCTCGAGCAACAAGAAACCGTCACGTCGTGCTGGCCACTGTCGAGGCATTACAGGATTCCTCAGAGTGTCGCTGCACAAAGCAATAATATCACCTACCCTCCCTGACACCTGATCGCCTCCCGTCCTTTCGTCGTGTCGACAAACTCCTTCAATCGCGGTCATTCAATCTTGGTCTAAATACCAACCACCCGCTCACACAATCTCACAAATCCTTTTGCGCCCCGTCGTCGATATCCACCCCTCGCCCGCGTCGGATAACTTATCCTAGTCCATTCAACTTTGAATCAGTTTCTTCTTATCTCGACGTGTTTATCGCCGGCACCATGACAACCATGTCTCCTCCAATCTCCCCACAACCCTCCGAGACCCGCCCGCGGGCTGGGACAGCCATGAGCTTTTCTTCCCAGCGTTCCCGTCGCAGTAACTCTTCAACGGGCAAGATCGACCTCACGGAGACTTCGCGGGATAAGAAGAGATTGAATACGAAGGCTGATCCTTCAAAAGCCATAACTGAGGCCACCCCAGGTCAGCACGCCTCTGTTGTTGCTGATAGACAAACAAGTATTGACTTTGTATCACAGTGGAACAAGCACAGGAAGCATCTACGGTGGATGATTTGCGCAAGATGTTGCACAAGGACAACGAAGGCAATGTCATCAGTGAGTGATTCCTCAGGACATCTGGCGTCTTGGAGTCCGTCTGTGCTAATCGGGCTCTATAGCCGACCCTGACCGTTCCAACCCTACCCGTCATCGCCTGGAGCGCCCTCTTGACACCATCCGTGCATTCAACGCAGCTGCAGAGGGGACCACCTCACGTCGTACGTCTATGAATAGCAGGCCAGGTATGTTTGGACTCCGCACACTAGATGAGCCATAACTGATTTCTGTAGGTTCTCAAGTCGGCTGGAATGGAGATATGAACCGCAGAACCAGCTATTACTCAAATAATGGCTATTCTCCGCAGCGACCACGAATGTCGCCAGCTGGTGGCTACTACCGCAACTCATCATACGGATTTGGCCCACAGAGTGCAGTTGAAGAATCTCCAGGGTCGTCCCAAATGTTTGCCAGACCCCCTATGCGTCAACAAACCTACCCGTATCCAGGCTCTCACCAGAATGGGAACCCGAATGGTCATCAAAATGGATATCATAATGGAGAGAGTCCCGTGTCATACCACTCATACCATCAGTCCTACGAGACAATGACCTCCGGCTCAGAGGAGTATGGAAAATCCACCAACCCCAGTTCCCAGAACAGCTCCTTTGATCAGCTCCACCAACTACGCACCAAGCCCGAAGATTTCACGCCAGAGAACCCGTACGCAAACGAAATCAAGTTTAACCAGGTCTCTCCGACAAAGCCACTCACATCATATGGATTTGGTGAAGACCACTATGGTCAGGAGATGGCACCTCCAGCAGTCCCAAGCAAAGGATTCGCTCTTCCAGCCCCAAACAATCCCCGGCAACCTATTCCGCTTAATTCTTCTCCAACCGATATGACTTCACCCACTAATGCCACTTCCACCAAGAAGCAGAGCTGGATCAAACGGAGGTTCAGCAGACGAGATCATTGACAGGACACCCGACTGGGCAACTAGAGCTGATACCCTCTTCATTTTCGGCGCCTGGTAAAACTCTCCATCGACTTCACTGGCGTTCTCCTTGCATAAGACACGGGGGGTTTGTGTAGCTGGGGCAGGAGCGCTCTTTTTACGACTAATGTTTGATGTAATTCTTGAATGATGGGTTGGAAATGAGTCGACGTGGCTGTCACATGAGCAACGGTGGCATGAAAAGGTGTATTACATGTGTGATGGCTCTGCAGGCTTTGGGGAAATACGAGCTGTGAAGCTAAGGAAGGGCACGCTCTCGCAAAACATATTGTGCAGGTCACACGTTTTTCCATAACCCTGCATAAAAATCTGGACATGACACAATCCCGCTCCTCTCACAGGTCGGTAAAGAGCTTAAAAGGCTACTTCTTCAGTCTCGTGGTCCTCGGCCTGCTATTGAGCTTTTTTGAGTTTCTTTTCTGCTTCGATATTCTCGCTGTCGTCTTCTTTCCAGGCCACGATAATGTAGCCGATCAGGACAACATTCGCTACCACAGCAGCAAAGGCGCCAGAATATATGGCATTTCCTGGTTTGCTTTTAGTATAAAATCATGCAAAGGGATCAATCGGCCGTCCTCGCGATAGCCATCGCATCGCCTACCTCTAAAGACAGAATTGAGCAAAAGAAAGTATGAGCCGATCGGCGCACAGATCATGGCCACGGTGAAGGCGAGAAGCTTGTAGATGACGGCGCTACATTTTTGCATCAGATTGGCATACGTGAGGCAAGGCATTTCTTTCCGTCGGAGCCCTCAACTTCTTGTGTTCAACTTACGCTGGAACGGCTGGCGATGTATCAGAGACTTGGTCAGAGGGTGGCGGGCCACCTTGTGCCTCCGAGATGGTTTTCTCGCTGACATTATTACGTCGGGTCGCCATGATCGCCTGCGTCGGGGAGAGAGAAAAGCCTCCTGTCGTCGCCCTGGCGCAAGGTGGGAAAGGGACTGTCGAGGTGAGAGATCTGGCGAGATAGGCGGCGGACGGACATTGAAGAGCCAGAGGGCCAAATACGAGTACAAGGCAAGCAGGCACGGATTTTAATGGGGCTCTGTCTGACAAAAAGGAAGATTCAATGCTAGATCCACGGCGAGCTACATCGTACTTTTCCATTTGAGCGAGTCCTCTAGAAAATCTGTGGAAGTTGTGGCGCAGGCGTCCCATTCTGCGCCAAAGTATATAGTTAGCTGCATATTCTTTTCTCAAGGAGATGTTTTATTCTTCTCAGCGGTACTATTCGCCTGCTCATGTCTGCGATGCAGCCCCGTTGGATGCCGGCCTCGGGCGCGCGAGGGGATTTCAGATAATTAAGCTTGGCATGACGCGCTCACGCCTGGACGCGTCGATTCGAAAGACGGACGAGGGAGTCCACAGTAGTAGCGCAGGTGTTGGGAAATGTATTATACCCGTAATGTTGAGGAGCTTTTCCAGGTCGGTATTTGTGAATACCAACAGAGCCAAGAGCCTAGATCATTAGCCATCTTATAGTTCTTCAGTTGACATTTTGACCCCTCCGATTTGCTGAAGGCGATAGCTAATCCCTACACGTGAACTGACATGCTGAATGTATCCAAGTAGGACACCTGCCCAGCCGCCTGGACAGCCTACAATGGCCTGCCTCATTAATAGGACCATCCTGGTGGTGATTTACCGAGCAATATTACACGCGAGTCCACGCGTCATTGGCACATTTATATTTGAAATCTAGTTTGAGAAAATAAGGCATCAAGGTCGAGTAAACTTACCTTAACGTTGTAATGTGACCACATCACCCATATAACACTACACCACGCTAGTACTATAGTGTATCTTTCGAGGGGATTAGTAGGCTGGAGGATTCGTAACGAGAAAAAGCCTTTTCGTTGTAATACACGTGTTCGTATGCCCGATAACAGGTCCTGAGTAATTTATAAACACCGCTCAAAAGACCCTCTTCTGCACGCTTCGTGCTTTGGCGGTGGAATCCATCCCTGCGTCGAGGGGTGAATAGTGCCACTTCACGAAGCATACCATGACTTGTTTCTCGAAGATGTACTCGGATTTTTAATACAACCAACTACCCGCCCTGTGCAACTTGCCTCACCCGTACCAAATCCAAGCACAAGACCCTCCCTCTCCCTTCACTGAACAATGTCTTCCGACGACTCTCTGTCGCAGTCGGACGATGAACTGTTCAATCCAAAGTACAAGCCTACCCACGAGACGGTCGAGACGCTTCCACTGTATAGGCCCGGCATGAGTGACGACGACTCTGACATCGAAACCCTCGCAACCTGGCCGGTTCATCGTCCTGGGATAAAATCTCAGAACATGGATATAATCCGACAGACACAGCCAACTCAAATCATTGATCGTTCTGCCGAAAACATGTCTTCCTCTCCTTCCAAGCCTGGCGTCGTCCAGGTCGCTGCCTCCTCTCCGATGGCCACCCCCAATTTACAACGGAAACCCACAGGAATACTGGCAAGCGCTATGGCACCGGCAGGCACGGTGTTCAGAAAACCATATGTGGCGCCTCAGCCTCGTGCCGTTCCCATAACGATCGACAGCGACGACGAGGGGCCCACATATCGTGGAGGTTCGTCAGACAGCGAGGGTCATGGCATTCGGTCGAATGATATCAAAACATCTACATTTGTGCGGAAGAACAAGTCGCCAGGGAAAATTCCCGAATCGCCGCAGCCTCAAAACAGTGGACTGAGTCGCTTCATGGAGATTACTTCACGATCCGTGTTCAGAGGCTCTCCAAACTCGACGTCTTCGGCTGGGTCGAGCGGAGTGAAACGCTCTGCGGATGTTAATGCAAACGCTTACGGCAGCATTTCAAAGAGACCGCGACAGACTGGGCCTGCCCGTGCAATGCCCGTGGTGTCGTCGCCGCCGGCTGTGCGGCAAGAAGAGATGGAGCTTGATGATATCAGTGACTATAGCACGAGACAGAAGGTGAATCGATTAATGTCAATGCTTCGTGCGGTGACGGTGAGAGAATGCTACGAAGTCCTGCTCTCGAATAAAGGGGTTTACGAAGATGCGATCGATGCGCTGCTTTTGCGGAGCGAGAAGCGACAATCTCAGAACAAGAAAAGCGCTGTGGATTTGACCGGTTCGGACGACGAGCTGATGCCTACCCCTGCAGCCAACAGACCCGTGCCTCAACACACGAGTACAGCAAGGCAGCACGCCAAGGTACCGCAGAAGAGCATCACTGAAAAATGGAGCTCTACTCAGAACATCAGAAAGCCGTCAAAGACAATAGATGTCTTCGAAACCCCGCCTCCGCAGAAGAAGAAACGAACGCTGGTGCGTGGCAGGAAGCATTCTTCTTCGCCTCAGCCTGTGCCCGAAGAAGTCACACGAAAGCCAACACGCGTGGTCGCCATAGAGTCGGACGATTCCGATGCAGATGTATCACCAGTCTCATCGGACAACGAGAGCAAGAAACCCTTCCAGAGTCGTGTCCTTGATCTGTTCAACACTTGCTCTGCGGCGGATTTGGCTGACATCGCTTCCATAACCCGCGACCTCGCCGAGCACTTTTTATCCAAACGGCCTTTCAAAAAGCTCGATGCCATCAGACAAATCGAGGATCCGAAATTAAAGCCTACAAAGACGAAACGTAGGACAGCTCCCATCGGTGAAAAGATCGTCGACAAGGTTGAGGATATGCTCGAGAGCTATGAGGCTGTTGATTATCTCGTGAAGAAATGCCAAAATCTGGCGAAACCGTTGGCTGATGAGATGAAGAGTTGGGGAGTCAAGCTTGCTGGCGATCATGAGGGAGAATTGGATATAGCCTCGCTACAAGCCTCACTCCCAGGTCATGACTCTGGCATTGGTACACCTGTGAGTGACGACGAAGACATCAAACGTTCAGGGCAAAAGAGATTCATCGGCCAACCTTCGATCATGGCCGACGATATGAAAATGAAGGACTATCAAATCGTGGGGCTCAACTGGCTTAATTTGCTCTACAAGAAGGGACTGAGTTGCATCCTAGCTGACGACATGGGACTGGGAAAGACTTGTCAAGTCATTGCCTTTTTGGCTCATCTTTTCGAGCAGGGGAAGAAGGGACCTCACCTTGTCGTGGTGCCCGCAGCGACTCTGGAAAATTGGCTCAAGGAGTTTCAACGCTTTTGCCCAGCACTGAGTGTCGAACCGTACTACTCGACAAATCCCGGCGAGCGGCTAAGGCTAAGTGCATTTCTCGACCAAAACCGCGACGAAGTCAATGTCATTGTCACCACCTACACGATAGCCAAGGGCAAAGACGATGCTCCCTGGTTGAAGAGCTTTGGGTTTGACTGTACAATTTATGATGAGGGCCATGTGTTGAAAAATGCCGATTCCCAAGTCGCGAGTAAATTGGTCAAGATTCAATCCAATTTTCGCCTTTTGCTCACCGGGACTCCCCTGCAGAACAACTTGAAGGAACTCATCTCCCTGCTCGCTTTTCTAATGCCGGCTCTCTTTCGAGAGAAGGCGCAAGCACTGAAGAACATTTTCACTCACAACTTCAAAGCGCTGGACAACAACCACGAAATGCTCCTGTCGGCACAGCGAATCCAGCGTGCGAAAAGCATGCTCACGCCCTTCATCTTGAGACGGAAGAAGTACCAAGTCCTCAAGGATCTGCCAAAGAAGGAGCGAAAGGTGGAGTTCTGTGACTTGAGTCCCGAACAATCAGAGCTCTATCAGATGTGGCTTGACAAGGCTTTTGAGATCCGTGCGAGGCGGGAGAGAGGCGAAAACGTGACCCAGGAATCGACAAACATCTTGATGAAATTGAGACATGCCGCCATTCACCCATTTCTCTTCCGGCGCCTCTATCCGAACAAACAGCTACCTGTTATTGCAAAGCAGTGCCTCAAGGTGGACCTATGGCGAGAATCAAACCCCGATCTCATCGTCACTGAACTTCTCGAGTATAGCGATATGGAAATTCATACCTTATGCGATAAGCATGCACAGCTTCGACGCTTTGCACTTAACGGCGACGAGTGGCGTGCTAGTGGTAAAATCCAGAAGATGATGGAACTTTTGCGCAAATTCATCTCTGAAGGCCACAGAACGTTGATCTTCAGCCAGTTTGTCATGGTCCTCGACATTCTCGAGTTGGCGCTGGAACGTGAGGGCATCGACTCCTTCCGACTTGATGGTGCCACCAAAGTATCAGAACGACAAGACCTGATCGACGAGTTCTCTGCCGATGACAACAACACGCCTGTCTTTATGCTCAGCACAAAAGCAGGCGGCGCCGGGATCAACCTCGCCAAAGCGAACAAAGTCATCATCTTCGACAGCGGCTTCAATCCGCAGGATGACATCCAGGCTGAGAACCGAGCACACCGCATTGGGCAGGAGAAGGACGTTGAAGTCATCCGGTTGATTTCCCGGGGCACCGTGGAAGAGCAGATCTACGCCATGGGTCTGACGAAGCTGAAGCTTGACGAACAAGTCGCTGGAGACGGGGAAGAGCAGGCACCGAGGAAGGACAATGAAGAAAACGAAAAGGAGGCCGAGGGCCGCATGATTGTCGAGAAGATGTTTTTTGACAAGATCGACGTCGAACCCATCGAGCAGGTCAAGGCCGAGGCCGCCAGTCCCGTCAAGCAAAGGCCGGAGCAGCACTCGGCAGTGGCGGAGCAAGTGCAGAATGATGTTGAGGATGACCACAAAGCCCGCCCTGGCACTGGACGGAAGAAAAGTAGTGACTTGCCCAATCGTCCGCGAGTCCGTAATGCAAAAACAAAAATCGAAAGTTGAGCTGGAGGGGGGGAGGCAGGTACGCTGTCAGGTGCCGTTAGGCATGAGGTTGTTGGATAAAATTGATCTTGTTTCGAATCTACATACATTTTTGGAACACGACTCTTGTTGTACGA